GCGCACGAAAGCGCACGAAAGCCCAGAGCCAGAAAGCAAAGCTTATAAGCCCAAAATCTGAAATATTTGCAATGGCTGAGAAAAACTGGAAAAGAATTGAAAATAATTGAAAAGAACCAATTCTGGCAATTCCGGTCCAGAGAAGCGCTTTAGTGAAAATTGAGCTCTGCACCAGTAGTAGTTCCGCGCGAGAGCACGGAGTGCTCAATTCTCCCAAAGTAGAAAAGCAAGCAGAATAATCGTTCCTATGTGGGGCCCCAAACCTGACCTATGCTATGCAGTAGGCAACAATGTCATGGCTCCCCCGTCCACCGGCATTTAGATCGCTCCTGTCTTCCTTCTTTTGCACAGCCCTACAAGCTGGATCCTGGTTTCTGGATTTTGTGCTGGCTGCTGCCCAGCGCATGTGGAAGAAGAACAGAAGAACAACTGTACTCAGAACTCAGAACATTGAACATTCCACTGCGATTGAGCTATGCGAAGGAAATCAACTGCGGTATAACTAAATGAAAACTAGTTGTCTTCCACAGAGCTGTTCAAATCTTCTACGGGGGGCAGCCTCCCATCTTTCCACTTTGGAAGAACTTCTACATTCCACAGCTGCAAGTGATCTTCCGCAGTTGCGCACGTATTGCCTAAAGCTGCCCAGTACTTCAGGCAGTGAAGGACTTCCTCACGACCACCGAATTGCACTGACCGCTTCTTGGTGCAAGCATGCCCCGTGTTGTGGGCAGGCCAGCCGCACTTAATTTGAAAATGTTTTGGTTCTTCACCAACTGCACCAACCGGCGTGATGATGTGACCGCCCCAGAGCTCTGATCGGTCCATCATTCGGGCCCTTTTGGCTCGAGGCTCCGGGGGCCCATCTGGGACTGCTGGCGGGGCTGCGGCTGCAGCTGCTGCAGCTGCTTCTGCTGGGGGTACTACTGGCCCTGCTGGTGCTGCTGCCGACTGGGACGCTCCGGAACTGTTGTTGCTGTTTGAGCTAGATGAAGAACTGCTTGAAGATGATCCTGATGATGATGACGACGATGACGAGCTACCAGATTCAGAAATGGATTCAAGCTCGGAGTCTGGAAGGTTTGGCTCAGCATCAGAAGGCAATCTAGCATCATCAGCAGCATCGTCGTCTAGCTCTTCCACACAAGCCCTCCTTCTGGGCCTTCTGGGCCGCGGCTGCCGATTCGGAGCAGAATCGGGCACAGGCCCCTCCCAAGCAGCATCCTCGGCCAAGTGATGAAACCTTGCTCTGCGTGGCCTGACAGCAGCCTGTGCTTCAGCTTCCAAACCCAACAGAACCCGGTAGCGTTTGACATGAAGTCCATATGGGACCTTCTCTAGATCATCATCTTCATCGTGCAACCGAAGAAGGCACAATAAATATTCCCGAGAAACTGTCTCACAACCCACACGCGTGAACCAGACCTTGGGCTCGTCAACTAGCGTGTGCACATACTTCGCTTTTATCAGCTCTTTGTGTTTTTGGCGTGTAACGACTTCATGCGACCATCCCTTGTCTTGAAGATGCTGTACTAGTTGGAATAGGGTCGCCTCAGATAAAGGCCCCCTGGATCTGGCCAAAAGTTGACGCTCGTTGTGTAACACGACACCCTGCACCACACGCTCATGACCAAGATCCGAAAGCTTCCACGGTGGACCCTCCAACAATGACACTGATGCCAGATAATCAAGAGTCTCCATAATTTCTGCCCTTATATCGCCTGTGATCACCAATCCCTGAGGAGACTTGAACAGCAATGCCAGGGCCTCTGTCAAGAACGGCTTTACCTCCACTGGAGCAGAAGCCACAAGCTGATTGTCAAATCTATGCACCAGCTCTGAATCGTCCGTTTCCCAAACAAAGAGGCGCAGCATTTCTTGCAGCGACATGTTTGCAGCATGCAATGCCAAAGGGGGGTTCACGGAGTCAGAATGGCCTGCCGGAGCACTACCCAGCGAGACACAGATGCGCTTGCGTGCAACATCAACATGCAACACGGTGTGCAACTGAACAAACCACACGCCCTTCAAAGACGCTTCATCATCATTGGCAGTACGACGAAAGCGGCTTGGTGCTTCGTGTGTCACAGATGCAATGACAAACTCCTCAGCTAGAGCAGAGCCGCTCCCAAGTAGCAGTTCTGAAAGAGGCTGTGTTTGACCCATATCAGGCAGAGCCAAAGCCTTCGCCTTTGCATGCTCAAGGGCCAGGGCTGGGACCTGCTTTTGTTGTGGCGATAACAAGGCAGTCAACACATGAAAGTTCTGCACATTGAACTGCATGCTCAGCCATGTCTTTCGTGTGATTGCTTGACTCACATCCTTGAAAGCTAGGCTCTGCTGCAGCATGACGGAACCACTCGCGAGACTCATCTCGATGTCTCGGCTGTCTTCCACTGCTGAAACGGCTGGGGCTTTCAAAGTGCGAAGCGTTCTGCTTCTTTGGGGCAAGGCTTGGGGAAGCTGCAGCGTGTACTTAGAATGGGGGTCATCGTGATAAACCACTCGGAACGCCCAGTTCTTGTGCTTTAGTGTTGTGGGAGAAACCCACCCAGCCAGTTTCACCATATTAGCATCAAAGCCCAGCATTGTCACTGCTACTGTTCCATTGGTGACACGATCCATCAAGCGAGCAAGTTCATCTACAGCGCCTGGGTGTGAGGCCAGGTGTTGCTGTAACTCTGGCAAACGATGAGACAAGCTTGTGTATGCTGCACTGTGGTGGGGGGCATTTTGGGCTGCTCGTTTAGTTCTTGCGTGTTGGCCTTCAACCCTCCATGCTGATGTCCACATCAATCTCATCTGCACTGCTATACACCTGAGTGAATCAAAGATTGTATCCTCTTGCCACACACCTCCGCCTTCGCAAAACACCTCTGCCACAACAGACTGCTTCTTCAGCTCAAGAATGCGTGGGTGCTGACTATCTGATGCTAAGCATCGCTGCACACACTTGACTCGGACCTCTGCCCGGCTGTGGGCAAGGCCGGCTAAGGCATGCGGCGGGTTTTGCCAGAAATTTAGCTTCAGCACATACGTACACAGGAGATGTTGTCTCGCGATGTCGTAGTCTCTCATCAACTGTGCTACGTCGCTCGCTGCAAGACCACGAGGCAACATGAGCTCCAGCTTAGTTGCACTCTGTTCAAACAAGCCTGTCAGCAGATGGAAGAAGTCGCCAGCGGCCATCTCGGCACACCTACGACCGCGCAACGGACAAGCCTCGAACATGGCCCTGAGTTTCGGGTCTGCACTGTGCTGCCAGCATGCGTGACACGGGCACGCGTTAACCCATACGACAGCCTCGGTTTGCACTTGTGCTATTTGCAGAAGAACTTTAATCGATCCCCAAAAGAAATCCGAGGAAGGTCCTGCATCCACCGCACGCAAGTTGACACCCAAAGCCTCACCATCCCCCGGTCCAGCAGCTGGCCTGTGTTCTGGAACCTCGGCCTCAACGTCGTTGCTTCTTCCCAGAAACTGATATAGGTTCCAGTGTTGTCTCAGAGGGGCCTCGAGGCGATGGATGTGCTCAATTGCAGCTGCTATGGTATTCCACCGTTTGTCATGCGGAACAGCAGTAAATGATTGAAGCTCGTCCTGATACATAGCAGCTGGTCCTTCGCGGAAACAAGTTTCAATCAGCTGCTGTTTTGTTTCCCTGCCTGCAAGTAATGAGCAAACAGCCTTCAACGTTGACAGTGCAGGTGAGTAGCAATCCATAATATCATCCAAGTTGTTCGTAATGTTGTGGATTACATGCATGAGGTCGGGACCTTCGAGGGAGTGGTCTAAGCCAACATCACCGCCTGTGGAATTGGGCACCCTGGGATCAGGAGCACAATCAACAGCCAAACTGAAACCATCCTCCGCAACAGCTTTGAACTCTTGATGTTCGCAGCAAGCGAAACCGTCTTCCTGCTGCGCAATGAAGACAGGCTTTGGCGCATGCAGGTAAGGGAGAATGGTATCCAGATCGCATCGCTGAACCCGTCCAAGCCCTATCTCTGTACCGTAGTCGGTATGAATGCTTACCACTGA